CACACACACACACAGAGGCAGGCACTAAGATGGACACACACAGCAACCACAAACCACACTTTAATTATTGATACTGTCTGATTGGGTTATAATAATATAATCTGTGTAAGAACACATGAAAGTATAATAGGGCTGCAACTAAAGATTCTTTTCATTAGCTTAATTTATCTTTTTTATTTATCTATTCATTGTTTAGTCTACAAAATCTGAAAATTAAAAACACAACGATAGTTTTAAGTGATTATACATGAAAACATAACCTATAAATATTATATTCTATTTCTGACAATAGATCCTCTTAAATGTTACACACTGGACCTTTTAATCAATAGCAATAAAGCAATTAAGTGCGACCAGTGCCAAAGTGTAAAAACATCCATAAAATGCAGAGAGTCCAATGACGTTGTATAAAGTTCCTATCAGTTCATGAGTCCAATATGTTCCATAGAATCCGCTGAGATCTGTCCAGACCTGTCTTCCTCCGGAGGTCATTTTTGATTGATTATCAAATAAAGTCAATTTTGAAAATTGCTTCATGGCACAAAGTGGAGATAGCTAGAGAGAAAGAAGCTGACTTTCTGCAATATGACAGAAGGAGTGCAAAGGGGGGAAAAAATCCCATCCAACATGTTCTTTTTAACTTTAGAAAGAAATGAACATCCTCTCTCTCCCTTTCTCTCCCTTCAGGCAGTTGCTGATGAAGGTGTGAGTGTGTTGGTTCACTGTTCAGATGGCTGGGACAGGACGGCTCAGGCCTGCTCTGTTGCCAGTATACTGTTGGACCCGTTCTACAGAACCATTAAAGGACTCATGGTAACACACACAATACTTACAATCTCTTATTCCTATCCAAAGAACATCAGCGGCTCTTTTCTCTGATTTGATCCTCATCTTCCTCTCTACTCTCTCTCCTCCTTATTTCTCCAACTTCCTCTCCTCTCGTCCAGGTGCTGATAGAGAAAGACTGGGTTTCCTTTGGACACAAGTTCTCCCACAGGTCAGTAACCGGCTCTGACTTCAACAGTGTCTGCAGAGCAATATCATGACAGTCATTTAGTGTATTTTAGTTTGTAAGACAGGGCCAGCCATTATTCTCCAACAGCTGAACCTTGCAGTTACATATCTTCTGTCAAACATTTGTGCATGTTATGATGGCAGGCAGAAAACATGGGGAAATATGAAAATGATTTAGTAACAATAAAATAAGTTTCCGGCAGTAAACAGAAATTGGATGTCCCTATTAGTTAGTTTGGTCTATGTATAGATGAAGTGAGTGTGTAAAGAATGTGTGACATCATTTTTTCATTTTAAGTACTAGGTCAACTAATTTGGGTCAGTAAAAAAAAAAAGTTTTTATTATCTCCACAGGATAACAACTAAACATAAGAACAGTTACACCAGAAAAGTAGTTGTCAATGTTATCACTTACATTGGAGACATTAAATTAAATCATGTGTTTTTTAATAATTTATAAGTATTGTTATTAAAAGATTAACACAATAAGACAACATACTGTATATAACTCAAATGTCCTGAAAAGATAACAATTTGCTTACAAAATGTAGAATACTGCACACTCATAAAAGGCTGTTCAGATAGAATAACACATTTGATGGTGAAATTACCTGTAGCCTTCTTTAGCTCTCACACTATAAATTCAGTATAGTGCACTCATTCCATCAGTACAACAACATGTCATAATCCTCACTTTGCCGCTCTGTTACATCCACCTATTAATTCAAGTATAGTAATCATTTTCATTTTTACCAATCAATGTCCACATTAAAAGACTTTTAATGTACATTCACAGTAACATTGATTGGAAAAACGGTGAAGTAAAATTAAAAAAATGGAACACAGATCGATGTTTTAAGAGTACTGCAGGTTCTTTTATCCATGGACTGGAATTCATTGGTGAATGGAAACTGTATTTTCTGTTAAATTGGGAATAAAAGCCTCTCTTAAGGCCTTAAAAAGTCTATCTGCAGTTACGGCGTCTAAATACGCTTGACGAACAAACAAAAGGCCACAAAAGTTTGACTTTCTTTCATCTTCATATCAAAAATGAACTTCTTAGCCAATAACAAAAGTATTTAAACCACCAGAGCTACCACTCTTTAACTTTGTTCAACCTTAAAAGTTAGTGAAAGTAAAATTTGAAAGCTTGAGTGAACCAGAGAGAGAGCACTTTTGGTCGAGCTACATAGAGAATGAATGAAGAGAGAAGCAAAGTTAGAGGGAACACAGCAGTGAATCAGAGAAATAAAATGTTAATTTCTGATTGTTTCACAGCGGTTACGTTCTAAAGCCCAAACACGACCACACGTCCGCACAGCCCTGCAGGAAGGTGCCATATATCTGGATTTAGTGTGAATGCAGCTAAAGTGTAGCTTCATCCTGTCTGCCCTTGGTCAAACAGACACACAGAATTGTAATTGCTTAATATTCCTTTTTTTTTGCGTAATAAACAATTGGTCACACAAAGAAAATCAATACTTGATTATTTTTGAAGAGTGAATAGTGTTATGGACAGTTAAGTTACGGAGCTGTGTGTGCCCCTGCAGGTACGCTCACCTGGATGGAGATCCTAAAGAGGTGTCCCCCGTCATCGATCAGTTCCTGGAGTGTGTGTGGCAGCTGTCCGAGCAGTTCCCATGTGCCTTTGAGTTCAACGAGCGCTTCCTCGTCGCCATACACACACACGTCTACTCCTGTCATTTTGGGACCTTCCTGGGCAACTGCCAGAAGGAACGCAGGGATATGAGGTAGGACTGACGTACTGGGTTGGCTGAAGAGGTTTTAAAATCAAAAGTTTTCAGAGATGTTGAGCATAGTTTTTACTCATTTCCTGTCTAAATGGTACATAAAGGTTTCATTTTATTTATTTGTGTTATTGTGTTTTTTTATTATAATAACTATTTAAAAATTCACTTTCCACAGTCAAATATTTACATAACTCTGTCAGTTTTATTGCCACTCTGTACTCGTTGACACTGTTAAAAATTGTTTATCTCAGAGCTTCTTTTTTGCTATGTCAAGGACAGAAAAAAATTAAAATTTTGAATTGAAATTGAAAAGGCATCACATTCTCACTTCTATAACAGTTCCACTGCAGTTAAAGTAGGAAGCATACAGAAAACAGCACCTTGTGACCTTGTTTATGACGCAGAGCAATAACATCCATATAATCAATTCCTTTTGGTGTCCGAGTTGTCCTGTCCTGAATGAACTTCTGCCACATGGGTCTGGATGTCTGCCAGCAGCTTTGAGGGAGTGAAGTCCTTTTCATTTTGGCCAAATAGGATAAACAGGAGCCAACAGCACTAACTCTAAAATCCAATAATCTCATTTTCAGCCCTTAAAATGTCTTAAATATCATTTTGACAGGTCTTAAAAAGTTTAAATTACTTGATTGAAGATACACACAGACATGGAACCAATACCGATTTTCCTTAAAATCCTTTGTACTTTTTCTTGCCAGTGGCAAAGAACTGCATCCATAATGGTCTTAAAAATGTCTTGTATTAACCTGTGGAAACCTGACCTGCTGACCCTTACTGTGTTTTATGCTGGCTATGGATTCACATAAACGTATTGCCGTGTATGTGTGTGTTGTTGGACCACAGGCTTCGGGAGCGGAGTCATTCTGTGTGGCCTCAGCTGTGGAAGGACAGAGCCGAGTACACCAACCCTCTGTACAATGCCGAGCTGAGCCAGACTCAGGGCGTCCTGAGACCCAACACCACCCCCTACTGCTTCAAGTGAGTCACTGCAGCAAGCACACCGTGCTCTGACACAGAAAGCAAAAGCTATACTAGGTTCAGAAGTGTACCATCTGTATGTAGTTCAATTAAACTACTTACAATTCTTACAATTAAAATCTTGTCTTTAGTCATGTCATGTGACCATTGAAAAGGCGAAATAAATACTGCTGGATTTAAAGTTATTATTTATTTGGCCTTTTATTGCCTTTATTTGATAGTGACAGCTGAAGATAGACAGTAAGGGGCAAGAGAGAGAGAGGATGACGAAGCAAAGGCCGCAGTCGATTCGAGATTCGAACCCGGGCCGCTGCAGCAACTCCGTACATGGGTCACCAGCTCCACCGACTGAGCTAACTGGGCGCCCAATACTGCTGGATTTAGTATTAAATATGTATTTATTGCCTTACTAAAATAATATATTTTATATGGTTAAAACAGTGAACTGGGTTCTGCCTCCTGGAAAACCTGAAAATCTAGAGACTAGTTTTCCAGTCATGGAAACACCTGGAAATTGATTTAAAAAAATCAAATATTGTGGAAATAATCTATGTTGTCCTATAAAATTTTAATTGTATTTTGTGTGGCCAAATTATTGTTTGTTGTTCAGTAAGAGGAAAGCTGTAGTCAATTCCCTTAAATTATGAATACCTTTGGCTGACCACCGTTTTTGAGCAAGTTCTTTCCTGTATTTTAAAGAAAAACCACCTGAAAATGTCCTGGAAAATTATTTCTTAAAAAGGGTAAGAACCTTTAGTCAAACATTACTCCAGACAGCATTAAACTGCCTAAAATGGCTTGGATTTGTCCTGATTATTCTTTCTTCCTTATCAAATCAGAAAGTGTCCCTGCTTGTTGTCTGACATAATCTACAAAAAAAAAAGGGGGAAACCAGATTACAGATCCCCTCCAGACATGTATTAAGACATATACAAATAGTCTGCTTGGAACGATCACTTTGTTTTTTTCCACAAAGAAGTATAACGTTTGTGGCACAAGATGTCTCCTACTTCACTGTAAAGTCGATTCTCAGTGTCTGTGCACTGATGGCTTCTAGTTTCACACTGTACAAATTGCATACTGGACCAGGACTGACCTAACTATTCGTGATGTCACAAATCAGATTTTCAATGAGCACAGATAAACTTTCCACTTTCAGCAGATCACACTCTGTACATACATCATTCAAACATCACACTGTAGGAACAAGATTTTCCACTGGAGGGGGACTTTAAAAGGAAAACATCAACAATAATATCATTCCTTTACTTTCTCCCTGTGTCCTTGTCTCTAGAATGTGGAAGGGTCTCTATAACCACATGGAGAAATCAACACCTCCTCGCCAGTCGCCTGCCGACTTCCTGTCCGCCGTGAGGGAGGAGTCCCAGCAGCTGGAGGAGGAGCTGACCAATCATCAGGAGGTACCGCCAGGAGGAACCGCCCACCACCACCCGGGCTCCAGACAAGGCATACAACACACAAAGACACCCCCTGTTATGACACCACTATAACCCCAATTCCACATCCATCTCTCCAGAATGAGCCTGAGAATCTCTCCCTGAGCTGCTGGGTGAAAATGGAAAAAATAGTAGTTAGTTGGAACCTTTGGCACCTAATCTTCCTCATCCTGCAAGATTTTGAACTATTGAAGTTTTCCAGTTTCCAACTGGAATTCTCCAAATTCAATTTTTATTTCTTTGAAAAAACATGTCAGTTTGTAGACAGAGCAGAAAAAAAGGGCATGAATGAATCCTCTGCATACTGTTATCCACACTGTGAGCCAGTGTCTGGGTAGGGTATACAACCCTTCCTGAAGTGTGACAGTATTCCAGAAGTCTTAGGAAAAACAATCCAATATGTCACAGTAAGACCTTACCTATTTGGGAGATCGTTTGGATGGCAAGCTCTTAAGATGTATTATTTAATTTCTATGGCAAGTAAAAACTATAGGATGCCACCGGATTTATTTACATATTTATCAGTTTGATACATTTATTCCTAAATATAGGCACTCGCACGGTAATAGTATGCAAGATTTTCCAGAACTGAGGACTTATCAAATGCGTGTAAATAATTGTGGCTCGTCGTTAGAACATTTGAAACCAAAGCCTTACATCCTCTGTCAAGTTTGTGGGGGAAAATATTAATAAATGTCTTGTTGAGTTCTGTCTCTAATCCAATCTATCCAAAGTTCCCACCCCCTAACCCAGTGGTTCTTAAAGGTTTTTCATTCATTAATTAATCATTTCCATAACCCCCTTTGAAATAAATAAATAGTCAAGTACCCCCTGACCAGCACAAAACACATTTGGTAAAATTGGTTCAGTACAGCGCTGTACCATCAGTGTCTGATTTATAATAAAACACAATAAAAATCCATCCCTAAATTCATGCAATATCACTAAGACTGCATTGTAGTTGCATTGAACTGCGTGTTTTTGATGAGTCACACTTACAGTTGAGAAACATGTGCTTTTGCTTCAATGAAGGGCTTTGTCTTGGTCTGTGGCAGGGAGGCAGCAGCAATATAATAAATATATAAAATAATTTTTATGTATTATATAATAATTTTAGGAATTATGCATGATATAGGCTGTTTTTTAAATCACATACCCCCTGCAGTACTCCAGAGTACCCCTAAGGGTACACGTGTCCCCATTTGAGAAACACTATCCTAACCCACTCCAGAGCCACGGTGAGTGAAGAGTTTATGGCTGGTAAATGAGTGAAATCCCTGAGCTAAAGTGTGTCTCACTGTCCTCCCGTCTCTGCAGAGGATAGCAGCCCTGACAGGGAAGCCAATCACGTGGGAGCAGATCAAGGTTCCGAGGAGGAGGACTAGCCGCCTGCAGCCGAGACACTGCGGGCCGGACCCGCCCACCACTTACACAGACCCAATCACCAGCCCTGCACAGGACAACGGTCACACACTCTCCTCTGAACCGGCCAATCAGAAGGCTCAAACCAAGGACCCCGTCCTCATCCTGCCTCTAGGGCCACACACCCACCTCAAGAGCCACGACCCCGACGACCTCTCCACCTGCAGCGACCTAGAGTCGGGCGTGGCCGACCTCAGCAGCCGCTCGTCCAGTGGCGGGGACGACAGAAAGGACCCGGACTCAGATGAAGCTGCCTTCGCTACTGCCTGACTCAAAAAAAGGGAACCCTGCAGCCTGGCTGGAAGGTGAAAGAGGAAGAGGCCGCTCTTACAGTAGATATTTATTCAAACACCTGGAGGGAGCGAGACAGAGTTAAAGATGGCGAGTGACTGACTGAAAGGCGGTTGGATTTTATGTCTTGTTTTCTCGTAGTCTAAAGGGAGTCAGAGAAACCTCACCGGCTGTTTAACAGTTCACCTTCTTGACAAAGGCACTGAAAGACGCCATTTTAGTGTTTTAATTTGACATTTTTTTAATTTGTATGTTTTGTTGCAGTTTTTTATATGTGGATATTGTTTAGGTGGGCTCAATTACTGTCATTTGTACTTTGTTTAAAGATTGCACTGTTACTACTGTGAGATGGACAAATATTACGTGAAAGTAGCCTAATAATGTCGGACACAGGTTCGATGAGGGGAGGGAAACAACTGGCTGAAACACTTTACAGACAGTAGAACAAACACTCGCACTAGACAAACCTTAACTTGGGTCCATGTTTATCATGTCAACAACATGATGGAAGATTTACTGAATGATTGATTTACATCCAGTCTTCCTTCTTCAGTGTAAAATAATATGCATTATGATGACAGAATAGTTTTTCCTCTTAGGTATTTGTTTGTAGGGCCAGCAGACATTAAGACATACTGGAAGCAGCAGATACATGAGCTCAATAACTGACCTGCTGTCAGTAACATTATATCTCCTTGACAGTCTGGATCAAGTTAGGTATGAGGGGCCACTAGTGAAGCACTAGAACTCAGTAATATATATATATATATATATATATATATATTATTAATAATAATAATATAATTAGAAGCTGATTCAGAGTCGCTGAATGTGAACTTATTTGTTCATGTAGAGGAAAGTGGGTTGTTTCCAGTGAGTTTGAAGGTTTGGACTCTGGATCAGCCCTCCATTATCCCATCTGAAGCTGAATGGGAGAACAGAAATGGAGCTATAGAGCTGCTGCTAGGGGAACTGTTAAATGTTGTATTTGTAGTCTCCACACTGGGAGGCCAGAGAGCTGACCGTCTGAATCGGCTCACTTTTATTCCCTGAAGCCTCGTCTTCGGTTGCACTCAAGTCAAGTTAAATGATTTCCTTCCTTTCTTACTCGCCCTGGACTTCTCCAAAACCATATCACTCTGCCTACTACTATTACTGAAGCCCATAGAGGTTAGCGAGTATATCTTCATTGAAAGAAGAGCAAAGAACAGCACTGAAGACTTTTCTCCATGGAAAAGATGTTTTTGTTTTGTTTAAAGAACGGTGTCAAAGGATGCTGATTGGTCCAGTACCACTTTACTGACCACAAACACATAGACTGAAGCCTGGCAAGATGGATTCTGGCGTGATCTGGCGATTCCAGCTGCCTCGTAAGGTTAGCCTGTAGCTGGTGTCAATAAAGAACTACAGGCTGTTTGAGCTTGGAGCTTGAAGGTAACAATATGGCTACTTATGTAAAATAAATAGTCAAACAACGTTCTATCACTTTGATTAGCACCCAGCTTAGCTTGCTCAGTGAGCTTGCGGGCAATGCATCCTGGTAAATGTAGGCACTGGTGGCAAGGCTCTGCAAGCAGGACGACTCAGCTTTCTCTGTCAATATAGCACACACAGGAATTTGTTGCTTCAATTGACTTTTCAGTTTACCACCAAACTGACTGGGCATCCACAAAAAATGTGGCAAAATGTCCCTTTGATTTAGTTCAGAGTTTAAAGACGATCAGCTTCAAATGAAAACTGGATCCTCCAGAGGCTTTCTGTGATAAAAGTAGAACAGTGAGAGAATATGTCACACATTTATTTCTGGATGGAGGCTTCATGAACTAGTTTGGTCATTAGATTAGATTACCAGGAACAAGAATCAGCAAGAAGAAAATATGGACACAAATATTCCTGTTTACAACAAATGTTGGGATACAATATTTTCTTTTGTCTTTTTGTGTGCAATATATTATTTCAAAGCCATGTAGTCTTCTGTTATGTTCCAGTCTGCTGTATGACATTCTGTAAGGACCTGATATCAACACTCATGTATTAATCCTCAAACCAACCGAATCCTTCAGATGAGAAAGTGGAAGGTTGGACTGAAGTGTGCTTCAGAATCTATAGTGTGTGTCCTTTTAGGGGATCTGTAACTTTTTACATTCCCACTTTGATGAATTACCTGCGCTGTCCAGAGGGATCGCTGTGTGGACGTGCATTCTGTATTTGAACAAGCATTTACAGTGTGTGGCTGTGTGCTAGCTAAGAGTTGACCTATTGGTAAGTTAGTGTATTTAAAGCTGACTGTGAGAACATACTGTGTCTCCAGATGAACACCAAGAAATCAAAAAAGACTCGACTTGGACTTTAACACCAATGACTCGCGACTTCGCTTGGACTGGAGCCTTTTGACTGGAAAAGACTTGATACCTTCCCCCAGCCCCAAACATTAAAAAGTGTGTTCCAGCAACCGGATGCTTCATTCCCTAGATCCACTGTGTTTGAACCAATCAGACAGGATCGTTGCATTACTGAGCACCCGTTGGAAGAAATGCTACTAAGGAGCATTTAGTTTCACTCTCCTGTGGTTAATATAGCATTACATTTCGGAAGAGCGCATTATGATTTCTTTAGGACTTAAAACTCAAAGTTTAGGACTTGTGACTTGCAAAACAATGACCTGGCCCCACCTCTGGGACAGACTAAAGAAAACTGTATTCCAAACACATTGTAACTGAGTAGTGCACTGAAGGTGACCAACTGTTTAAGCATATCATCACGTAGCCCAATTTTTAAGGTCTTGGAAATCATGTATACACTTGACATTCATACCAACAAATCAAGAAAAAAAAAGAGGACACGTTTTTCTTTCCACTGTTGGTATATTAAACAAAGTGTCCCCATCCCTGCTCCCACAGCGGCAGTCGTTGGCTGGCGTGCCGACATGCAGATACACAGAGACAAGGTAAAGAACATCACCCAGTGTGTGATGAATGACTGAATCTCCTCTCCCTCTTAACTTGTACATTTCACTGTAGCCTGTGGTGTGTATGTGTTCCGTATCCATTGATGTGAATGATCTATCAATAAAGGGAAAGTACTGCAACATGCTGGGTCTGACATATTCTTCAGCATGACATGAAAAACAGCTTCCAATAGCAAATCCCAGCAGGGCTTTAGAACTGTTAGAAAATGTTAAATGTTCTGTTGTTTCATTGATTCATGACAGCGCCAAACTGTCAAATAATCTTCTATCTGGGGGGAGGGGGGGATTACCGATAGTTGGAAAATGCCAATATCCGGCCAATAATATTTCCCGCCGCTAGAACTCGGTCGGGCTTTCATTTCCAATCAGTTAGGGAGGTGTCAAACAAAAGTATGTTCGTTATTATTTTTTTAGGATTAACTACATATTTTTACACTTAAATCCTAACAATATATCTTAATAGAGGCAGTAAGCTAACATATATTATTCTCATTTATACCATGAGTTAAACCTAACTCTAAATTCAACTTCGTGAAGTAATAAACTCAGTGTTTTGAGTGACTCAATCTGTGCAGTTTGTTAACGTATTATGACTTCGTTCCAATTTGTTCCATTGACTAATTTCTTAGGTTGACTTTATACCCATTATAAATGTAAGCTCCAAAATATGCTACCATTTGATATTACCATCATGGTAGTGTTTATATCATACGTCAGCTGTTTTACAGTATGTAATCATTTTGCTTCAGTGGAAAAAACGAAGTAAATTCAATTGAGAACAACTATCTTTTAAAACGTTTTCAGCTTTGTGACACATGCATTATACAGCTGATCAAGAGGTTTTTAAAATAGTTTGTTTTAGCTTAAGAAGTAATCAACCTATAAAGAACACTTCATCCTTCAGTTTATCACAACATTCAAAATCAGCAAATGTTAATGGGTTACCCGTCTGTCAGCCTGGTTTTGATGTTTTAAAATGACTGAAATCCATAAAGACATGTTCAGAGGGAAGTGCAACACATTTCTATGCAATTCAACAATCAGCAGTCTAAGCAGTCATGTCCATGGATCCCCTGAATACACTGCAAACAGGAATCGCACAAAGTAAAAGAGTCTTATTTCGTCTTAAAAAAGAAAATAAATCTTGCCAGCATGTTTTGCATTAGATCTGGTTTTTAAGAAAATCTATCTCACTGGTGTCTTATGAGAATATTACAGCTAAAAACTGAGCTAGATTATAACCATTCCACTATGGTTTGA